GGTGCCGCCCACTAAGGATGCATATTGGGTGGCCCATAAACTTAGCACCACCCAGTGGGCATGTGTTAGCAGAGGCCCGGTCAGGCACTGTGGCCATTTAAAAATGTGACCAGGCCTCTTTGCTTTTCAGCAGCCTGCGAGGAAGTGACAGCCACATAAGGGCACAGGAGGGGTGAGGGGCTAAAGAGGGCACAAGAATGGCACTGAGAGGGGCAAAAGAGGGCACAGGAGGTGAGGGGACAAAAGAAGACACAGGAGGGGAGGGGGCTACATAAAGGTACAGGAGGGGAGGGGGATGAAGAGGGCACAGGAGGGGAGGGGGCTACATAAGGACATGGGTGTAAAGGGGGCTAAAGAGGGCACAGGAAAGGGAGGAGACAATTTACAGTACATGATGGTAGAGGGGCTACAGTACATGAGGGTAGAGGGGCTACATAAGGGAACAGGAGGGTAGAGGGGCTAAAGAGGACACAGGAGGGGAGGGGGCTTTGTAAGGGCACATGAGGGGATTGGACTACAGAAGAGCACATTAGGGGAGGGGGCTAAAGATGGCACAGGAGGGAAGGGGGTCTACATAAGGGCACATGAGGGAAGGGGGCTAAAGAGTACACAGTAGGGGAGGGGGGCTAAAGAGGGCACAGGAGGGAGGAGCACAAAGATTCCACACAGTATACCCCCAACACACAAACACACCGATACCCTCCTCACCTGCCACCCACACTGCCAGCCCCCCACACACATACACACTGTTACCCCCACACACATACACACTGTTACCCTCACACACATACACACTGTTACTCTCCCACACAAATACACTGTTACCCCCCTACACACACTGTCATCCTCCAATCACTGTCACACACACATACACTGTCACCACACACACACACACACACACACACACACACAAACACTCACTGTTACCCCCTTCACACACATGGCCACCCCCCTACACACACATGGTCACCCCCTACACACACACTGTAACCCCCTACACACACACTGTCACCCTTTACACCCACACTGTCATCCCCTACACACATACACACACACACACACTGTCACTCCTATACACACACACACACACACACACACTCGCTCTGTCTTCCCCCCACACACATATTGTTACACCCCCACACACATTGTCACCTCTGTACACCCACACTGTCACCCCCCCACACACACACTCACTCTGTCTTCCCCCACACCCACATATTGTTACACCCCATATACACTGTCACCCCCTACATAGCACTGTCACCACTTACACAGACACACACACACACACTCATTTTTTTAGTTGTATAATTTAGTGGTGGATGTTATTAGTGCCACTCCAGGTTTGACTGTGGTATCTTATGTGCCCCCCTATATATTATTCCTAGAGTTTCCACTGTCAGTATGTCTTTCCGTATGTTATGGGCATATGCAAATATTACAAGTTTTAGAATGAAAAGTTGTATTTATTAAACTGTATACTCTGTCTTTAAGATATTTTGCAAACTGACAAGTTGTTATAAATGGAACATATTGTTTTTCATACAATGTTTCATAAATGATATCTTACCCATATTCAGTGAATATGGTGTTCAGACTTTAGGACGTCATGTTGTCCTAGGTTAGTGTAATTCTCCAAGTCTGGGAATTTCCCACGTCATGTGCACCCTTACGTTTTAGTCTAAACATAGATAAGATGTTCCCATGTGAAATGACCAAGTTATGGCCTTGTATCTTTGCCAAGTTAAGGTAGGTCCTTAAATTACCTAATTGAACATCTAAGGTATAAATATGTGTGTAGCGGCCTCCGGGTAACCCGACCGTTCACCACCACTGATTCCCTTCATTCAGCCGGTCAGGAACCACTTAAAATGCAATGAGACCCACTTCCCCCCAGTAACTGGACAAGACCTAGTTCTGGAGGTACAACACAATTTTATTGGCCACACATGGCTATTATGCATACCCCATGCAATGGGATGGATCACACACACATAGAAAGACACATCCCACAATCCTCCCCCTCCCCGAGGTCCCAACGCGGGAAGAGATTCCACTCTCTTTGTCCCCAAAGCCCGCCACTAAATCTCTGGGCTTCCCCACACCAATTGCCAGGGGTCTTCTTCCCAAGAGTCTTTGTGCCTGGGAGTCTAGGCGTGGAAAAAAGGGACCATCCCTATGTCTCCCAGGCACAGAAAAGTCCACACCAATCTCAGGTATCCTCACCTTGGCCCCTCAACCGGCTCGTCTCTGTTCGCGAGGTCCTGGTGTGAAACCCAGAAAAGGGAAGTGTCTCCTTTCTGGGGAACGAATGCTCCCCCTGGATGGCGTTCGTATATTTGAAATGGTGGCCACCCAGGGGAGAACTCAATAATTACTTCCCTTGTGGTTTCACACTCTGGTTGCAAGTGAGAACGTTCTGATTAAATGGTGTGAACATTCTATTGGGGCACTAGGGAAACGAACGAGTCAGGAAACAATCCACAAACGCTCCCCCTGGCTGGTCTGTAAGAATGGTGGCCGGCCAGGGGAGCGCTCATTAATTGTTTCCCTTGTGGTTTGATATCTGTGTTACGAGGTGCGAAGGTTCTAAACTAACATTCTAAATGGGAGTATTAAGGTGGTCCCCGTTCTTGAGGCGAATTAATTCCCTTCGTGGAGGCACTCTTGAATGGGGAGCGGGCATAATGAAAAAGATGGGGAGAATATATAATATAAAGAAGTGAAATTCCCAGACAGGCAGCGGTCCCGCTACAATGTGTACTTATTATTATTGGGACATAGAGGAGAGATTTTGAAGACAGACGCTGCTCCATTTTATCATGACTGAGAGGTTGACATTTTCAGGAGGGCATGTTATTCTATTTTACTGATATTACAAGCATATACTTTAATCTTATGAACTCTGCTATAAATTATTGTAATTGATTATTAAGTTTTTATATGTCTATATTTATATTTTTATTTAATAAAATATTTAAAAAGACAAAACTATTGCTTCGAAGGCAATCCCTATTATATTGTATTCTCAATTATTTATATATTTCAAATAGAGGAACTCACTAACTATATAATATAAGATATCTGTACAGTTAACCCTGCTGAATTCTATGCTTTAAAATTTTATAGTGGTAAATAGGGGAAGCAGCTGTGGTTACATGTGTATGTGTGTGTGTGTGTCAGAATGTCTGTGTGTGTGTCAGTATGTCTTTCAGTGTATGTGTCTGTATGTGTGTCATCAGGGCCAGATAAACATAGGGGCTGATGGAGCTGTAGCTCCAGGCCCATGCCCCTGGAATAGGAAAATTTACACACTAGTATTCTGCACATACTCTTGCTTAAGTATGGAAACTTAAGAGGGGTGTATGTGAACAAAACTTATGTGGACTGGCTGACAATGAAATTAGTTAAGGTAATGCTGACTTTGGTCTCTCTAACACTGTGGCATGTCCCCTTTCTTATGCACTCACTCACTTCTGCCTGTTAGTAAGAAGGCAAGAAGACAAGTGGACATGTGAGTGCTAGGGTACAGTCCTTAGAAAGCGTGGAGCGAGCGCATCATTAGATGCATTTATACCAAGCTCAGGGTGCTGTCTGCAAAGTATGCCCTTAGTTGGCCAGTCTTCACGATTGGCAGGCAGCCTGATATGCATTCATGCCAGGCTGGCCTTCCAATTTATTTTTCTTTTTGGGCATGTTCGCCACTTTTGGCAGTTCTGGTTACGTGATTTGCATCACCCTTTTACCCCTCTAATCGACATTCTGCTTCACTGGACACTGCTGTTAGAGGGTATGGATTTACTTGAAAGATTAAAGCAGAAATTAGAGAGAGATTAGCATAGGGTATGTGTTTTCGTATAGCTGCATCCTATAAGTTTCCCTCCAGCACCATCTCCATTAGATACATGACACTTGGGAGGTATGACTGTTTTAGTGTTTAGTCGCGAAATTTTTGTAATTAGGCCCATCATAATTGTCAGCACCAAGCCCAATCGGCTCTTAATCTGGCCCTGTGTGTCAGTGTGTGTGTCAGTACATAGGCGTGCGCACGGGGTGTGCCGGGTGTGCCTGGGCACACCCTAATCCCCGTGCGCAGGCCTATGGTTTGAGTCCTGCAGGAACAGCGTTCCTGCACTCTTTTGAGCAGGAACGCTGTTCCTGCAGGCACTCAGTGCCCCCTGTTTCACCTCTTGCCCCTGTCATGGGAGGGCAAGAGGTGATGATTCCCCCCCACCCTGCAGCTCAGCCGCGGCGAGGGAGCTCTCTGCTCTCTGCTTCCTCTCGCCGCGCGCTGATGCCGGGAGCCGGAATATGACGTCATATTCCGGCTCCCAGCTCCAGCAGACAGCCCGCGCGGCGAGAGGGAGCAGACAGCAGAGAGCTCCCTCGCCGCGCGCTGACCTGCAGAGAGGCGCCCGCCCCCACTGGACCCCAGGGACAAGTCCACCAGCACTCCAGGTAGGAGGCTGGGTGGACATTTAAAAAAAAAAAATTCAAATATAATAATTTGTGTGTGTGTGTGTGTCTGTGAGTGTGTGAGTATGTGTCAGTGTGTGTCTGTGAGTGTGTGTCAGTGAGTGAGTGTGTGTGTGTGTGTGTCAGTGTGTGTGTGTGTCAGTGTGTGTGTGTGTCAGTGTGTGTGTGTGTCTGAGTGTGTCAGTGTGTGTCAGTGAGTATGTGTCAGTGTGTGTCAGTGTGTGTGTGTGTGTGTCTGTGAGTGTGTCTGTGAGTGTGTCTGTGAGTGTGTCAGTGTGTGTCTGTGAGTGTGTCTGTGAGTGTGTGAGTATGTGTCTGTGAGTGTGTGAGTATGTGTCTGTGAGTGTGTGTCAGTGAGTGTGTGAGTATGTGTCAGTGTGAGTGTGAGTCTGTGAGTGTGTGTCAGTGTGTGTCTGTGAGTGTGTGTGTCAGTGAGTGTGTGAGTGTGTGAGTATGTGTGTGTTTCTGTGAGTGTGAGTGTGTGTGTCTGTGAATATATATACGTATATATATATGTATATATATGTGTGTGTGTGTGTGTGTGTATATATATATATATATATATGTATATATATATATATACACACACACACGCGCGCGGCGTGTGTTTGTGCTTTAGGGTGCACACCCTAATGCAATAGGCTGCGCACGCCTATGTGTCAGTATGTCAGTATGTCTGACAGGATATGTGTGTGTGTATCTGTATGTTGTCATAGTGTATATATGTGTATCTTTATGTTGTCAATATGTGTATCTGTGTATTTATCTGTGTATCTGTATGTAGTCAGTGTGTGTATCTGTGAATCTGCATGTGTGTCAGTGTTTGTATCTGTGAGTCTTTGTATCTGCATGCATATCAGGTTGTGATGTTGGTCGGTATGTGTTTCGGTGTTTCTGTATCTGCACGTGTGTCATTGTGTATATGTGTCTGTATATCTGCATATTGTCAGTGTGTGTATTTGTATGTTATCAGTATGCGTATCTGTGTGTGTAAAACAAAAAGAAGAGTCTGCGCTAATTCAATTAAGCAGCAACCCTAAAAGGGAAATCCCTCAAGAAACGCTTATGTAAGAAATGCAAGAAAAAAAGGGGGTCAAGGGCTGCGCTTGAGTAGGGAGACAAAAAAGTGAATACGTGAATAAAACCAAAACTACTTTTAAAATCAAAGAATTTATTACATGTAATACTAAGAATGTCATCTACCTATTGGAATGCCCGTGTGGCTTCCAATACGTTGGGATGACTACAAGATGTTTAAAAATCAGATTAGGTGAGCATTGTAGGAATATAAAAAATGGTTATTTAAATCACTCTCTATCAAAGCACTTTTTAATTCATAATAAAGACCCTAACATGCTAAAATATATGGGAATAAAAAAATGTTCCCTACCCTGGAGAGGAGGAGATATAAAAAAACATCTTAGGTAAAACCGAGATGGAATGGGTTTATAACTTACAGACCCTAACACCAAATGGACTTAATGCAGAATTTGATTTGCATAATTTTTTATGATATGTCTAATTACTAACATTTCCTATTTTTAACTTTTTAGTTTAATTTTATGTTTCATTTTATCCTTATATTTGTAATATTATTATGTTCTACTTAGAAGATTATCCTCCTATTTTTTTAATAATATCTGCATCATCATTCTTAGCTATTACTTTTATATTTATCCTTATGTATAAATTTGTGGGGCAGTTTAACAAATGTTTTTATACCTTTAAATGTTTTTATATCTTAACATGTTCTTTTTTATTATAAAGTGCTCTTTTCTATCTATTAATGTGATCTAATGTATGTATCCTATTATAGGAGCGCCCAGTGGCCGGCAGGACTCTACTTCCCATGGAGCTTTGTGTTTCCAGCCGGCCATTGAGCACTCCGTGTAAACCAGGAAGTGTTTTCGCCCATTAATTGATTTGCGCATGCGCGCCGCGTTCCGATCACGTGATCGGAACAAAATACAATTAAATCTTTTTAAAAGCTTCGTTTTAAATACATTTTTATCCCTTGAGCTTTATTAGGCGTTAACAAAGGCATCTATATGGTTTTTATATTACTTTGAGATGTGTCACGTGATCGGGATTAATAGTAATGAAACTCCCTTTTAAATTCTTTTTAAAGCTTTGTTTTAATAAAATTTTAATTTTTCAAGCCTATTAAGGCTCATATAAATATACCTATAAGGTTGTAATGTTACTTTGAAATGTATATAAAGTTTGGTTTTAATACTTGTTTGTGATTGGTGGACAAAAAATTTTTGGCGCCAAATTCAATTTCTGTAAACTTATATATTCAGTTCCTTGCCAGGTGTACTGTTCTTTTACCATTTTGAGAAAACCCCAAAGGTGAAACGCGTAAATGGTTTTAATAAGTGTATTTTAAATCAATAAAAGTTTTTTTGGTTACCTTTTATACTAGGACCAATTGTAAACTTATTTTTATTGTATTTTATACACTTCCTTTTACTCCTGGCATTTTTATATATATGTAGAAAGGCCATTAGGCCTGAATTTGTGGGAGGAGTAAGTCCCCTACTTAAGCTCCCAGCCCCTACTCACCGCTGCCGCTCAGCTGATTGTCACTTCCGGTCCAGCTTCCCGCCAGAACTGTACCTGTTTCCAGCAGCTAGACGCCCTGTGCAATCCTCCGTCCGTCCGAGGTCCTTCCACTCTGTTTCTCTCCGGTCGAGGTACCCGTTTTCCGGTCACGAGACCAGCGCGTTCACGTAAGCAAGGCATGGGAATTAGCGTTCGCTATTTCCCCGCCGTTCGGGCCTAAAAACGTAGGAGTAGGCTCCCTCTTTCGCATTTTCACGAATACACGCTTTTCGTTAATATCTCCATTCGCGCCAAAAAACGCACGAACGTTCGGCTCATTTCGCTATCATTTAAAGCATTTTCGTACGGAAAAAAAACGAATATATATTTCATGTTTAAGCTCATTATTATCTGTATTCACTTTTTCCGTTCGGTCATTTCAGCACCAACCTATGGTTAAATTCACGAACACCATCTTAATAATTTACATTCGGTTATTTCTCTTCTTTTAAGCTAAGCATGCATAAGTTCTAATCACACAATCCTACTATTATTTATTCCTTCATATCAGTTTGTGGTTACATTATCTGGTTAACTACCAGCCCTGTGTTTTCCTACCTTGTTAAACCATTTAAAGTATTTTTCTGTAACAAACATAATGTTTTACCACGGTTCATAACTTCAAACGTGTCTAAAATATAAGCTATACCATTCTTTCCAAATAACACTCAGATAAGTCATTTAAACACTATTTACAAGTTATACCCTTTACACATAATCCGTACTATTCCGTGCACATAAATCACGCTGTCACATTTTCTGGCTTTTACAGATTGCATCGGTCTCTTGCTTTTCTGCATAAAGTTGTTATTTCAAGGTCCTTTTATTACAGGAACAGGTATGGTTTATTATCACATTGAGTTATCAGGTTTTATCAATTATCTTCACATCTATTGCTAAATATGGAATTTGTCTTGGTTAAACCCTTAGATCCTGTATTAATCTAAGCTTCCACCGTTTCTACGCAGTTAACCTGCCATGATTAAACAATCTCTGTACTTAAAATCAAGGTATAGTTCACTCTCTTTTCAATACTAGACCTCACGCGGTCTCAACTCCATTACTACCTTCCCTCAGGCTTACGCCCAGGATACGTTATCTCTTTACTACTTGTCTACACAGACTTTCGGTCATACGGCCATCAGGCTCAGAAGACACCAAAAACCTGACCCGGTACTCAGCCATACCTTCAGGTACTTACATCCTTACTCAAGTACGTCCATTCGCTACCCCAAGGCCTCATTCTGCCTTCTCACTCATATCCAAAAATCATCCCATTCCTACACCTAAACCTCCCAGATCCCTCAATGCAGGATCTCACGTGGTGCCCCTAACAAACCTTCTCCCAATACTATTCATACGACATCACGATACGTATAAACACATCAACATCTGTCTTAAACCCCCAGGATTCTTCCTCAAAGACATTAAGACAAGACTCTCTACACTTATCAGGAGGCTCCAGATACCATTTGCGACCAGTCAAGGTTAGTATCCACACACCACTCCAGTCCTCTAACTTTACTCCTAAGCATACAATCGAACTGGCTATACGGCACAGGCTAATGCCTTAGCCCACCCTATCAGGAAATCTGACCCCGCGAGGCCTACCACCCCCACCCCACCTCAACACGGAGGTACGGCCCCACGCCCAAATCATAGTTATAAGCCTTGCATGCCTTACTACAGGGCTCTAGTTAGGGCCTCACCTGTCACGGCCACACGTTTTGATTTCTCTTATCGTCACCGAGAGGCCAACATCCCGCCACCACGTCTGTGGCACCTACGTCATAAGCCAAATCATAGGTAGAGCCTCTCACCGCCACTTGGCATTAGCAGGGCCTCACCTATCCAGTCATTCAATAGTTAAGTTTTTCGCCTCGGCATCTAGCATTAAAGTCCAGTTCTTCCAGACACACCACTCCCCATACCCCCCCCCCTTCTTACCTCACTCCCCTTCTAATATATCTTTCACATAATCATTCCTTTTTAGAATGTCCCAAGAACCAATTCCAACCGAAGAACTGACAGAAGAAACACCATTCACGCCAGGCAAATCACTCACTCTTTCAACCCCCACGTCCTTGAGAGCATGGACTATTCCCAAAATCACTTAGGCTCAGGGGAATCCCCTTTCCGGCCACAGCTAGAAAGGCAGAACTTTACAGGCTGCTTACCCACCAAGTCCCCGAGCCTCGGCCAGGAACTAGCTCTCAAGGACAACCACCAAGAAACAGCATGGCCACCCAGGATACCCTGGCAGATATCTTGGCCAATCTACAGACCCTCAATAGCAGGCTGTCTAAGGTGGAGAGCGCCATCTCCTCCTCAGGTACTAACACCGTAGTCCCAGTCTCTACCACGGCTGTACCTGCCATACCTACATGTCCCTCTATACTCCCCCCTCCAGCACCTGGCACAGCCATCACACCTTTCGAGTCACCAGCACACTCCGTCCCAGATTCTATCAGGAAAGATATCTATCACGGTTCATGCCGTGACATCCAGTCTGCCAGACGTGGTCGCTCCGGAAGCGCCCGATAGGGGATTTGAACTGTGGTCCTTCTGGACCGTGTCCTGCTAGTTTCCCTCTGAGCCATTTCAGGACTTTGGATAACTCCTGTTTGTTCTTGTATTGCCTGCAGCACTAGGGGTCTGGACTTCACTTAAGGCTCTGATCTGTCAGTTACTCTCCAGCTGAATCTGATCCTAATTAACAGGATATAAAAGCCTGCCTCACCCTGGGAGGGGTGTCAGTTCATTGACTCTGGTTCTCTTGTTTGGTTCCTGTTACTCTGTACCTGCGTTCCAGTGATTCTTGTCTATTCCGGCTTCTGACCTTGGCTTTCCTCCTGGACTACTCTGACCTCTGGCTTCCCTGATTTTGGCTTCCCTTGACCACGCTTCTGCTTATCCCTGCTGTACTGAGTCTTGGAGCACTTTTCCTGGAAAGCCCCCGTGCACAGACTCACAGGCCAGGTGGCGTCTTACCTGGTCA